TTCCCCTAGATTTGTTACTGAAAAGAGAAATTTAAAAATTGGTAAATTATGGTATTTTCAGATCTATTTATGTGTAATGCAAATAGATGAAATGCAATTATAACATTTACAGAGATGATACATTTAAAACATTTTACAGAGATGGTACATTTAAAACATTTAGATTGTACATTTTATATATATATATAGTTTTTCCTCTTCCTCTTCTGTTTTCTTTCATTTATTGCAACTACCTTTATATAATATTCTGCAACTGTATTCCATTTTACTTTCAGACCATTGCCTCATCCCTTGCAGAGGGTCTCGGGATTAATGTTGAGTTAGTAAAGGGAGGGAGGACAAAGAAATTGATGCTCAATCCTGCAGTGACAGAGCCTCATCTGCTTGTGGCAACCATGGGAGCATTGTCAAAACTCACCACAGCTGGTAAGGGTGAATGATATGCACTGTGTGAAATAAGTGCACTGCTGGAATGGTAGATACATAAAAGTTGGTGGTATATGGTTATGTTGGCATTTATTTATGTTGAATGAATATAGTCCTTCTTACAGTTATGACATTTAGCTTGCCCTGAAAATTGTATATTCAGGTAGTAAATATGTATTAGATAACAGTTTTCTAGTAAGATGTATACTTTCAGGGTTATATGATATGAGTCTTGTGAGACACATAACTCTCGATGAAGCAGACTCCCTCTTAGATGACTCCTTTAATGACAGTGTCATTCGATATCTCTCCAGGTTTCCAGTGAGTAACAAGTGAAATTGCACACCATAGAGGACAATTTTATAAGTTACATATATCTTGTTATTATTTATAAAAAGATTATACTTTTTTTTTCTTTTTTTTTTTTTGTAACTTTAACATGCTGTAGCATGTCCAGTGTTTTTTTTTTTTTTTTTTTTTTCTTTTTTAATGACAAGCAGTTTATGAATTGAGTGAAAATGCCAAAGATGTACTGAAAATTAATTGAGAACAGCCCAAAAATCATTCTCGTGCTCAGAAGCGATAAGCATTTGTTATGTATTCTGAATATTTTATTAATGCTTATAAAACAAAACCTTTGACAAAGCTTTAATTTCCTATAGATTCAAGGATGTAGTAATACTGAAGAGCCTGAGCCATTAGTAATGTCAGGTGTGCAGCTCACACTAGTCTCAGCTACAACACCCCGTAGTTTACATACCATTCTGGATCCCATAGTTGATGTAAGTATTTAACTTTTTTGCTTTGTTTTACAGACTAAAAGAATAAAGGCTAAAGTTGCTGATATTTCACAGAAGTGCATATAGGATAATATGTATTCTTACAGATTTTTATATTGTTTTGCACTCAATATTTTACATTTATAATATGCTGAAATATTTTTCTCTACAACTTTTAGATTGATTCTGTGGTACGGATCTCAACCCCATACCTCCATCACATTATGCCCCACATTCCCCAAAAGTTTATAAGAGTCAGCCATATGACAAAAGCAGAGAAACTTCTGGAGCTAGCAAAGAATGATGCAAGAAAAGGAGTTCCATTTATAGTTTTCAGGTGAGTTTGTTTATTGTGGGTCAGTGGGTTAAGGCACCCAAGTACTGATCATGTGGTTAAGCCTTTTCTAGTACCACAAGTGATTAGTAGCCCAGCTGTTCTTAGCATGCAGAGATGGAGACCTATAGGAGCATCAGCCAAGGTCAAGGTTTTTGCATCAGCCAAGGTCTGCCCACTCTATTTTACTATCATTAATATCTCAAAGTATGATTTTCTTGGTGTATAATGTTTGAATAAGTTCAGTTGATCATTCTGTTTTAGTCTACTGTATTTATATATTTCCGTCTTTCTCCTTTCTTTTCTGACTTGCCACATCATAGACTTCTTTGCCTACTCAACTAAATATTGAAATTTCTTCTTCCTGTTCCTCAGATTCTTGCTAACTCCCCTTTTTAACTTACACATTCTTCTTCTTCTTTTTATCCATCTCATCACGGTCATCTTATTATGTTCTCCTCCTTACAGTAACTCAGCAAAAGCATCAGATTGGGTATCCCTCTATCTGAGTGAGAACAACATCCCATGCGTCAACTTGAATGGCAACATGACCGCCGCACTCCGAGAAGGCCGTTTCGAAGCCTTCCAGTCTGGTCAAGCATTGGGCCTCTCTTGCACTGATCTCACATCCCGTGGCTTAGATACTGTGAGGGTTGGTATCGTGTTCATGTTTTGAAAGTATTTTTTGTCTTGTGTAATTATTAAATGAGTTTTTTTAGGGGATGGCATCCTGTTATTGTTAAAATGGGTATCACTTGTATTGGATTAGAGGGCTTTTTTTCTTCTTTTTATTTTCTTATTATCACTAATATTGTTATGCTTTTGGGATTTGATTTTACATGATTAAGCAAAGTTTTTGTAAATTTTATGTGTAGAGGTTCTGTTCTTTAGTGTTTACTATTAACCTAACAAAGAAACAAATACTTTTTCAACAGGCTGGCCACATTATCAATTTTGAGTTCCCAAAATTTATGGCAGACTACATTCATCGATGCGGTCGAACAGGCAGGGTTGGGAGTCAAATGACTGGGCATGTTACTAGCTTTGTCCACCGTCCCCAAGAAGTCGAACTGCTTCAAAAAATTGAGGTAAAAGAGAAGGACTGCATGTTTGTGTGCATTTGTGTGTGTATGTTATATACAGATGTAAAAAAAAAAAAATAAAAAAAAAATTAATTATAAGCTAAATATTTTTGAATTTCTTTCTAGTATGCTGCGAGAAAACGAGAGGATCTGCCCAATGTTAATGCAAATATTAAAAGAATCATTCTCAGTAAGGCTGTTACAAAAGACATGCAAATTGTATGAAAACTTAACAAAGGAAAGATGGAAATTGGCATTTTTTGGGATTATTGAGAACAGAGAGATGAAGAGTTCTATATTCTTATTTTAAGGATGTAGAGAGGAAAAGGGTTATATATTCTTTTAGAATATAGAACAGATACCTGATTAAACTTAACACATAACATTTTTTATGTTGCAAATATGTATTTGTAAATAGTTTGTTCATATTTGTATATAATTATTAAAACTTTTCCAATTCATGTGAATATGTTTAACCTGGTATTTGACATAATGAATAAATACCAAAAGTTGTCATTATTATATTCTGTTCCTGTGCTTTTTCACTGCTTATACTGATTTTGAATTCTCTCTCTCTCTCTCTTTCTCTCTCTCCTCTCTCTCTCTCTCTCTCTTCTCTCTCTCTCTCTCTCTCTCTCTCTCTCTCTCTCTTCTCTCTCTCTTCTCCTCTCTCTCTCTCTCTCTCTCTCTCTCTCTCTCTCTCTCTCTCTCTCTCTCTCTCTCTCTCTTCTCTCTCTCTCTCTCTCTCTCTCTCTCTCTCTCTCTCTCTCTCTTCTCTCTCTCTCTCTCTCTCTCTCTCTTCTCTCTCTCTCTCTCTCCTTCTCTCTTCCTCTCTCTCTTCTCTCCCTTCTCTCCCTTCTCCCTTCTCTCCCTTCTCTCTTCCCCTTCCCTCCCTTCTCCCCTTCCCCTTTCTCCCCTTCCCCCTTCTCCCCTTTTCCCCCTTTCTCCCCCTCCCCCTTTCCCCCTTCCCCTTTCTCCCTTCCCCTTTCTCCCCCTTCCCCTTTCTTCCCCCTTTCCCCCTTCCTTCCCCTTTTCTCCCCTTCTCCCCTTTCCCCCTTTCTTCCCCCTTCCCCCTTTCTCCCCCTTCCCCTTTCTCCCCCTTCCCCCTTTCTCCCCTCTTCCCCCTTTTCTCCCCCTTCCCCCTTTCTCCCGCCTTCCCCCTTTTCCCCTTCCCCCTTTCTCCCCTTCCCCTTTCTCCCCTTTCCCCTTTCTCCCCCTTCCCTTTCTCCCCTTCCCCTTTTCTCCCCTCCCCCCCTTTTCTTTCCCCTTCCATTTTCTCCCCCCTTCCCCCTTTCTCCCCCTTCCCCCTGTTCTCCCCTTCTCCCTTTCTCCCTTCTTCCCCTCTCCCTTCTCTCATTTGCTCTCTTCTCTTCATCTCTCTCTTTCTCTTGTCCCTCCCTCCCTCCTCTCTTTCTCTGTCCTCCCTCCCCTCTCTCTTTACTCTGTCCCTCCCTCCCCTCCCTCTCTCTCTCTCTCTCTCTCTCTCTCTCCTCTCTCTCTCTCTCTCTCTCTCTCTCTCTCTCTCTCTCTCTCTCTCTCTCTCTTCTCTCTTCTCTCTCTCTCTCTCTCTCTCTCTCTCTCTTTTCTCTTCTCTCTCTCTCTCTCTCTCTCTCCTCTCTCTCTCTCTCTCTCTCTCTCTCTCTCTCTCTCTCTCTCTCTCTCTCTCTCTCTCTCTCTCTCTCTCTCTCTCTCTCTCTCTCTCTCTCTCTCTCTCTCTCTCTCTCTCTCTCTCTCTCTCTCTCTCTCTCTCTCTATATATAATATATATATATCATATATATTATATTATATATATATATATATTATATAATATATATATCTATATTATAAACTCTCTCTCTCTATATCTCTCTTCTTCTCTCTATATCTCTCTATATATCTATATATTCTCTCTATTCTATATTCTCTCTTCTCTTCTCTCCCCCTCCTCCTCTCTCTCTCCTCTTCCTCTCTCTCTCTCCTTCTCGCTTCTCTCTCCTCTTCTCTCTTCTCCCCTCCCTTCTCTCTTCTTCTCTTCCTCTCTCTCCCTTCTCTTCTTCTTTCTCTCTCCTCCCTCTCTTCGTCTTTCTCTCTCCTCTCCCTCCCTCCTTTCTTCCTCCTCCCTCTCTCTCTCTCTCCCTTCTCTCTCTCTCTCTCTTCTTCTCTTTCTCGTCTTAAATCCTTCTGTTCTTATATGTAAATTTAAATTAATAAATGTATGAATATATAGTAAATAAATAAAATATGCTTATACAGTGAATATATATTATTCAATGAATAAATATATGATTATACAGTAAATAAATATATTATACAGAAAATAAATATATGATTATACAGTAATTAATTATATGCTTATACAGTAAATACCCTGCAGCTTCACCATGTAAAACGCGCGTTTCCATTCAATATCAAGCATACACAAGTAAAATTGCATTCTCTATATGCTATCAGTAATTTGTAACAGAATTTCACTATCAGCTCACTGTCCATCCTCCACCAATCCCTCTAGTGGAGTTGGCAAATAAACCTTTGGGAAGTATTGCAGATCTTGAAATCGAGAGTTGGGTGTCGGTCCTTCCTGAGTTCGATGCACAGTTTGTGGTTTGGTCTCCTGTTGGGAAGTTTGGAGTACAAAAACTCGGGGTCGACCTCGCTGTCGTCCACCCACTGCCAGCGGGGCTCTTCGTTCTTGGCTTCGATGTCCGTGGCCTCGGGCTCCTCGCTTTCGCTTTCTCGGGCGCCGACCCAGGTTCCAGTGGGGCCTACGTGGTCAAAGTACTTTTAACTGTTATATGTAACTTGTAGGTGGTGTGAATTAGGGATTGTGATTTTTTTTTTTGCGGAAGTGATGTAAATGCTCCATAAATGTACGCTCGACACAATTACATACACCAATTACTTAAATACAATTAAGAGACAGGATTTAAAAATATACAGAAAAGTGCACCAAAAAGTCTGGAAAAGATTAGTAATCGTCCATTCATACACCTGTGCGTGTCCACCCAAAAGTAGATATAACAATAAGGATAGTGATATTGATGAAAGTAACAGTCCTACTACTAGTAGTAATGATGATGATAATAACAATAGCAATAATAAAAGTAATAATATTGCTGTTCACATTATTGTTATTATCATCATTATCATTGTCAGTAAAATCATAGTTGTAATTATCATTCTCTCTCTCTCTCTCTCTCTCTCTCTCTCTCTCTCTCTCTCTCTCTCTCTATATATATATATATATATATATATATATATATATATATATATATATATATATATATATACATATTGGACCTATCCCTTCCACCTAGTGATCACACTTTTGCTGTTGGATATACTGCGAATTCAGCCTTATATGTGTAATGTTTAGGTCACATGGTCAAAATAAACCTGATAGTGGTTACATTTCAAACATTTATCGGGGGGGGGGGGATGGATATATTGTGAGCGGTCCACGTATCACTGATTCACTTACCCCCCCCCCTTCCCCCAAGCGCATCACAATGACCCCCTAACACATTTTCCATTTTCCAAGATCCCCCCACTAATCCGGGGCTCTTAAAACTGAACAACTTTATCCTCAACTTCCTAACACTCGCATGATTTCTTTAGGAAATATTTGTAGTTGGAGTTGATCTCACGAACCAAAATAACAGTTGGATTATATGTAGATATATATCATACATAAGTATCAATAAAAATACCCAAAGTGTGATATTCTCTGGCCAGGAATAAACGATCGTAAGGGTTGGTAATGAATGAGATCACGGGACCCGGGTTCTTGCAAAATCTAAGGTGAGAATATGACTGACGTGTCTGTAAATGGCATCCAGTGCAAATTGCAAATAGTACCGTTAATCCATGCGGTGTCTAGGCGGCGTAACAATACATTCTACTCTAGGTGTCCAAACGACTTCCCCAAATCTCCTAAGAGAGAGACCCACTCACCGTTCTCGCCAACGACATAGGACTTGAGACCGTAGAGGTGTCGGGGCACGGCTAGCTCGGCCCCCATGCCCCGGCAGTGTGTTCGGGCCTGCTCCCACGAGAGACCTATCTTGCTGAGGTAGAAACACTCCCCCATGACGCTGGCGAATGGCGACGGACAGCTGACACTCAATTCCGACCGAACTGTGCGAAAGGGAAATTATCTTGAAGAGGACGTTTGAAAGCAGGAAAAGTGTGGACTGTGATTTCACTATTACTGATCAACGACTCCGCCACAAGGTCTAGGATATAGTTACATTGTGAAAGGATTTGCGGTATGGATGCAACTGTCTCTTAGTCTAAGCATATTACTCTTGCAGAATTGTTGTATACAATGCATTGGGTCTTGCGGGAATGGTGGAAATGGAGCTACAGTTTCCCCTGGTATTAGTAAAATTTAGTAGAACTGATCAAAGGATCTCTAAATTTAAAGCTGACTTACAAAGTTTCCAAATGACTTTATCTACCGTCTAAGGCCGTGGTTCCCAAACTTAACGGGCTAGTGTACTTTTCAACTATTTTTAGTGCAAATCACGTTTTCGTGATACTATATTTTAAATGCAAGATTATATCTGAAAACGTTCATACCTGGATTTGCAATGAAGATATTCAAATATTTGGTGTGTGTGTCTGCATTGAATGAATATATATTTGATAGATCTCCCAGTGAATTTCGATGCAGTCAGTAAGAATTTAAGATAAAAATAACTAAATGTTAGAACCCTATGAAAATCCGTTCGCTTGGGAACCTCCGACCTAGCTTAATTACCGTTTGGTAGACAACCATTCGTCCGTTCCCGCGTGGCGTTGATCAGCTCCCTGAAGAACACCGCTTGTTGGGCCAACACGAGCTTCGACACGGCCACAGCTGAGCGGAGGTCGTCGTCCTCGGGGATGGGGATGGCCA